TGCACTATCAGCTCACAGTAACACTCCAAAAGTGGCTCAAAGCCTAGTCTGCTACACAGCCGTTTTTAGTGTCGTCACGCAATGCTCCTCCACACTGGGGAGGAGCGTTGCGTGACGACACTAAAAACGGCTGTGTAGCAGACTACTCAATAGCCTGCGTAGCAAGCGTTTCCTCGCTAGTTCGTCAAGAAAGTTGGGACGAGAGCAAAAAAATAACTCGCAATAATAACTCGATTGGAAACGCTTGCTACGCAGGCTAACTACTCAAAGCCCTGATCGTCTTTGTTTCTTATCGCAGATCAAGTAGAAAATACTCCATTCTATTTTGTGATCAATCGATAGGGTAATAACTTCTACTTCATGTAGAGCTTTGGAGCTAGCGCGCCGTAAAATGTGACTTCCACTTTGGGCTCGGGAAACCCACCTCGTCTTTGACAAGTTGATCAACCGTTTGTTGCTTTACTTCCGATCAAGAGCAGTTCTCGGCCTGCCATTATACGATTTAACTTTTGAAATAAACTAAAAAAGTGTCTGAGCTTATATCCAGTCGTATGAAGCTTATCTTGAGCTTATATATAAAAATAGAAACTTAAGCCACGGTTTATAGGGTATTGATGAAATTCACGCATTCAGCGAACTTCCTTCCAAACCGTTGTGTATAAAGATCAAAAGCATGGATTACATTTCAAATGAAATGAATAAACATTAAAGGATCGGACGAATGATGTACTAACCTTCTAAATAATTTTCTTGATGTCGGCAGAGGAAGAAAACAGCTGCACGACCCGCACTCATACAAGCACGACCAACTCTAAACGTCAGTTTAAAATAGACTACGAGTAGTCCCCCATTTTTCCTCAGGGATGGTAGAGTGAGCGAAACGCGAGCGCGCGTGAAAATCACCCCACGCGAGAAAAGGCGTCTCTCTCCCCACTGCGTGTCGCCTTTTCTCGCGTGGGTGATTTTCACGCGCGCTCGCGTTTCGCACACTCTACTATCCCTGAGGAAAAATGGGGGACTACTCGTAGTCTAGTTTAAAAACCGCGCAAAGGGTTGATCACACGTCATGCCAATCATGTGATTTATGATCCGGCGGTAAACAGTCTGTTTATGCAAAGAGTGCTCAGTGAGTGCTCCCACAAATGTTAGGGGAAAAACCCTTAATAACCATTGTAATGCCAGCGTCATCGTTAGTTGATTTTCCTAGTTTTGTGAAATTCAATGAATTTTATAGATTGACGACTGCTGGTTGACCTTTGAACGGAAACGGAACGATTTCTGGCATCTGTTTAATGGACAATAACCATTTTATCAATGAATGACGTGAAGTCAACTCTCGCAAATAGAGTTGTCACAACTCTTTCAAAATAACTCCAGTAATCTCAACTCCCTTCAAGGTGTTTCGATACAGTTTTTCAGAGCCACACCGATATTTTTCAATCGCCTTAAAAGAGTCTTTTTCCTCGTCCGATCGCTATAAAATTTTCGCCAGTAATTGGCTATGGATTGAAATTTGTGAAAATTTAGTTTTAAGTAAAATCGATGTTGCTATGACAACAATAAACAAAAAACTTTGAAATTGATAAAAGTCGAATTTTGTGTGATCTAGACCAGCTACTCAATTGCAAAATCCAACACTAGGAACTTAAAGTTTGGTGTTTAGCAAACAGTCTCCGTAAGAAGTAAAAAATTCTGTATGTTTAAATTCGACTAAAACGAAAATATATTTCAAACCTTAAATTTTCCATAGCCGTGATAGATTATTTAATAAAAACGTTATAAATGACTCAAATTATTCTTAAGTAGCGTCAGAATGATGCTTAATGTCATGGTTTTGATGCTAGGAAATCTTGGTGTTTTTCCGTTCTTGCGATCTTAAAAACTAAGTAACCTGTTTTCTCACCGCCTCTATAAGTGCAACTTCATTCAAGATTTGGACTTTTTGCGCTTTTTTATATATCTCTGAAACGACTCGAACGAGTTTTTTAAAAATCTCTTCACATAATCTTCATAATGTATATAATAAGGTCTGAAGCTTTCAATGAGATTGATTTTTCAGCAACATCTTAAAATTTCAAGACAAACCTATCCTACGAACCTGTCAAAAGTCTGCGTTACAACATTCACTGTTTTGACGTTATGCTAACTTTCCAAATGATAATGCGCACTATACATACCTTCATGACTAGTACATTTTAGCTTGAATTTATCAAATCTTTTGAATGTAAAACATTGACAATATTCACACTGAAATGTACTAGTCATGGATATATGTATTGTCCGCATTACTTTAGAAAAATTAACATAACGTCAGAACAGTGATTGTTGTAGCGCGGTTTTTTGACCGGTTCGTAGGATAGGTTTGTCTTAAAATTTCAAGGTGTTGCATTGAATCAATGTCAATGAAAGTTTCAGACATTATTATATACATTACGAAGATTATGTGAAGAGATTTTAAAAAAATTCGTTCGAGTCGTTTCAGAGAGCTAGATATACAAAAAACCGCTAAAAGTCCAAATTTTGAATGAAGCTGCATTTAGACAGGTGGTGAGAAAACGGGTTAGTTTTTAAGATCGCACAACGAAAATACACTAAAATTTCCTATCATCAAAATATGATATTAAGAAGCATCCTAAGGGTAAAAATCGGCTAAAAATGTGCAATTATACCATTTTTTAGATGTTCGAAAATCCTCGGAGAGGCAGGCAAGCAGGAAGCTTTACAACTAATGTTCCGAAAATTGTAGATCTCAAATCGTCTTCCGGCCGAACAGACATTTTCCGAGAATTGACTTTGGGTGTCCCTGCAAATTGAAAGGTCAACAAGTATGTTAGTGAGTGATCGTTAACCCTGCCCTCGTCAAAGAATTGTTAAAACAACGAAAATAAATCATGTTGGAATCTGATGTTTTTAGATCCCGGCTGTGCTATTCAGGACAGTGAAAAACATAGCACAACTTCAAGTTGGCCGAAAGCCGACTTAAATGTACGGCTTTAAAGGTGGGAATTTGCATCTATTCTTCAAGAACGTTATGTTTACTGATACTGGGCAAGTGATCTTCGCCTGTCGAAAAACCAGATATTATGGCAGACGTAAGGTAATTTATGTCAAGGCACGGTACTCACATGATAACTCGATAAATCTAGCCAATGAGGTTATAGGGCGGTGTCATGGTTAAGTAAGTATATTGAGGTATTTACTCTAGTAATTCTTCCTTTTCTCCCTCGTCATCAACTAGGCCAAATCACGAGCAAAATCTTTTCAGGCAAGTACTTCCTTTGAATATATTCTCTTTTCTTTTTTCTTAATGCCGCCAATCCGTGTTTTAATTCTGGGTCACTCCTTCATTCGCCGTCTGAACGATTTTCTTCACAGCAGATTTGGATGTCATGACACGCGCGTGAAACAGAAAGTGAGAAGCGTATCCGGAATACTCAAAATAAACCTTGTAGAGTTGAACAAGTTACAAACCGAAATCGTGATTATAGACCCTAGGCCATATCAGAGCACTCAGTTTTCATATACCGTGAAACGAATAGAATGTTCCGCGAAAGTTCCGCGCCATTTTGTTCTAACTACCAAAACAACTCAACCTCGTCCCCAGGTTTTCTCGGTCAACGGTTCAATAACCTGCATTTGAAGTCATTTTGACGTCATTTTGCCATGATTTGATCGCTACACGCAGGCATTTAAAGCAGCAACTTGTTAAGTCATCACAGAAATTTCAAAAAGGGTAAGCTAGCGTTCGATAATTGGTCGCGTACGTGACCAGCCTGGGTTGCCTGTGCCCGAAAACATCTTTTTTCGGTTGGAAATGAGAAAATCACGGGCTCATGTTTATCGGGAGACGTAAAAGCAGTTTCGCGTGCTTTTAGCTGGAGGAAAGTAAGCTGCTTCTTTCTGTAACTGTATTATATTGCCACGATTATTTAGTTTTTTAGTAGAAGAACCTTTTTCAGGTTAAGTGACTTAAAATAAAACCCTTTTCGGCATCTTACAACGGCTACGAGAAAGACATTTCCTCAATTTCCTTGATTGTTGATGATCGTCTTTGGTTTCACTCTGTAATTCAAACCGAAACCAAAGACGATCATCAGCAATCAAGGAAATTGAGGAAATGTCTCTCTCGTAGCCGTTGAACCGGTTTGAATTACAGAGTAAAACCAAAGACGATCATCAAAAATCAAGGAAATTGAGGAAATGTCTCTCCCGTAGCCGTTGTAGGAAGCCGAAAAGGGTTTTATTTTAAGTCACTTAACCTGAAAAAGCTTCTTCTACTAAAAAAATAAATAATCGTTGCAATATAATACAGTTACAGAAAGAAACAGCTTACCTTCCTCCATCGTGCTCGCTCCTGCGTGAAAGCGGCGCAGCTAAAAGCACACAAAACTGCTTTTACATCTGCTGGTAAACATGAGCCCGTGATTTTCTCATTTCCTACCCATGACCTTTGCCGGTACACATCAGTGCACATATGATGGTGATGCACAGTGCACATAATGAGAGGAAGCAGGAAACTATAGTAATAATTTTACTAGAAAATTAACGTACAAGTAAAAAAATAACACTCAGTCTGCACAGTCTGCCGTCTGCAGTCTGTATGGTCTGCGTTTCAACATGACCGGGGAAAACAAACTTTTTCACACTTACTAGAAAAACTCTTAATAACTAATAAAAGCAATTTGTCAATTACACAAATACAACAAAGCCTGGCTGAATACAAATTTAGCCAAACCGCTGACGTTATTTACCGTAGAGTTCCAGGAATTGTTTGAAATATTCTGAGAAACGTATCGCTTCAATTCACGGGACCGGAATTTTTTGCCTTCACTTGCATTCATACTCTTCGCTTGCAAAAACGTGGTTTCCTATACCAAAGAGGTTTTCTCCACGGCTTTAAGTTTTCCACATCACACTTGTCTGAGTGATTTTAAATGATGATTATAGCTGACCAAATTGGTTCTTCAACAGAGAAGAAATTCAACGGATAACTTCACCAAATGACCAGCATTTCTGACAGAACAACCCAGCCAATGCCTGTGATGGAAATGTCGCAATTCATTGATGGTTCCATCAATCGCAACGCGGATTCAAATGATATCGATGAAACTGACTCGATTTGCGAAACCGAAAACGGAACTTTGGCCGTGGAACTTGTAGAAAAGAGAACAGAATTTACCCTCAGGATGCTGAAATTGCTAGGTCTTGCCACAAGTGAGAGATCAACGAGGATCGGCCGCTTGTATCTTGTGTTCGCAGCTGCAGTTGTCTGGTTACCTCCGATGTCGTTGTCAATTTGTGTAGCAAAAAACCCGACCATGTCCTCGCCGACAGGCCTACCGACAGTCCTACTTTTCTCGGGACTTGCTCTATCCCATAATGTCGGAGCCCTCTACGGATACAGACATCGTGGGCGACTTCTCAGGAACATTTACTTGGCTTTTGAACGAGCTAACTTAGGCCGATCATGTGTTATCGTGACAAGCATATTTGGAATTCTGACGTTACCATATCTTGTTTTGCTGATTTACCTGTATGTCACGCAATCCAGTAGACCAGTTCCATGGCTTCACATCGGTATTGTTTACTTCCTTGGGTATATTTACTGCGGAATGGTAAGCGTGGCAACGAATTTGACTTTCAGTGCCGCGTGCTCGACTATAAACCTTAGAATACTCAATTTCAAGAGATTATTTAGAGGATGGTCAAAGGGCCTGACCGAGGCTCTGAATGAATATCAGGGACTATGCGATTTTATACACCGTGAGGTCGAGGATATCAAGTGGTGGCTTCTTGTCAATTTTATCAGTTTTATTGTTATATGGCTGGTTAATCTCCATTTGTGGCAGATTCTGGCCTCTGGAGAGGGTGATGTGGTCAGACTTGTGTTTTACAACTGCTCGTGGTCGGAGCCGTTATCAGCGCCCAAGCTCCACATCCCCGATCGTCTGATCACTGCCTGTGAAATGTTCTTTTCAAGCCTCGTGTTCTTCTTTTTCATCTCTCCTATGTTCTGGGCTGTCATGGTAACGGTCAACTGCAACCGATTCCGCCAATGGATCAACCGAACTCGCGTTCACACAGATGAGAGACCCTTGGGTCTCTTTAGTGTGACGTCGTTGGATTTCTTTATCAACCGTGTTCAGATGGATAGTTACTTCGCCTTCACACTGTTCGGTGTAAGTGTGACCAAGGTCTTGATTTCTACGGGTTTGATGACAACAGTCCAGTTTGTACTGGGAATCGCTTCTAAAAAGCTACTTCCAGCGTAGTTAATTCGAAGTCAATTCTCGTGGTGGATGTCACATCTCGAAGGCTTTCCTCCAGCGATTCCAAGACAACATCTAACGTGTTCAGTTGTACTGTTTTAGGCTGTACAGCAGGCGCTATTTCGCTTGTTTTGGGCGTGAAAAGGCAAGCGCGAAGCGAAACTTTAACTTTAACTTCTACTTCATTCATTCAATCACACATCCAATTTCAGTCCTGACAACTTTACGATAGCTTCTGCTTATAGAAGTGCCTAATCGAGGAGGGGGAAGAGACACACAAATTTAAATTTACCAGCTGCCGTAAAATAAAAATTATAGTATGAATAGTATGAATCAAATTATTGAAATTACGATGTGAATTACACGGAGAATATCAGTTAAGTCGTGTTCCTGAGCTAGTTAAATTTAAGTTGATGCATGATTTCACGATAGTCATCAGATTTAGATAAGTTTTCAAAGAACGTATCCCTTAACTGTTTTCGAAAGTGATTGAGGAGCGCGAGACACGCGCGATGGGGGAAGGCTGACTCGCGCTCCATGTCCACTTAACTTAGTGCTTCGCTTGCCCGAAAAAACGCGCGAAAAATGCGCGAAAAGATAGCGTCTGTTGTGCTGGCTTGTTCAGTTACTATTTGTGTTAATTAACTCGGTCAAACAAGGTTGCTAAAGAGTCGGCGTATTTTCGATTGTTTTTCGCTGCTCAGTGCATACTACAATGAATGCTAACACTAAGAGCTATTAAGCCAGAGAATATTGTTGTTTGTCGTGCGCCGTGAACACTAGAAGCCCAATCTCTCAAGAGTATTGTTGCTTAACTTTTTAAAGGGTATGTAAAGGAATTCAGGCGATTGCTATGTAGGAGTACAATAAGTAATGAAAAGGCACTAGAATTCCTTATCTCTATGTGCAATTGCTTAAATTGCAATAACCACTGCGACGATCATATCTTCATTTAAAATTTGTATTTCCGCGGTTCACATCATCTTCATGTTTCACTCCTTTCACGAGTTAAGATTTCGATGAACTCATTGCAACAAATTGGCCAGCTCCCAATGTCTGAGCCTTCATAGCTCAAATGGTAGAGAACTGTAGCGCTAACGCAAAGGCCATGGGTTCGAACGACCTCTTCCTCTGAACTATCTCAAATTAAGAAGTTTTCTCGTTTTTTTTTTCTTTACAAGTTTTCTTGTAAAACTTGTTCTTATTTGCGAACCGCTGACCACAAAAAGTGGGTATTCCAACTAAGGGGGAGAGAGCGGGGTATAAGGTTGAGGACTGCTATTCCCTTACAAGGATACATAACAAAACTTAAACTATATTATAGGACTTTGTAAGTCCCATAACTGGGTTACTTAAAATTTGATCAAGTTGCCCCAAAATTCAAACGTTGCTCGAAATTGCAAAAGTTACCAAAATGTTGCCGAGCAACTTGTGACTAAGGTTGTAATTAGCAGAGATTGAGAGCCTTGCACTGGCTTTTTTTTAATTAATTTTTTTTTTTTATGTGTGTGACGCAGTACGCACTTCTTTCGCACAAACATTAAGGGCTTAACGCTTAAGAGTGATTTTCTGTAAAATTCGAACCTCGGCCTGACACGGTACCTCATCGATTTGGCTGATTTTTGGCATGTAGTCTTAGAATGGTGTCCTAAATACTGAATGCATATTCTAAGGTTCGAATTCTCGTTGGTTTCAAAGATACAGGAATGACAGTTTTGACCACAGGTAGCCCAGGCTCTGTGATAGTACCACAGTACGGTTCCAGTAAAATTACAGTGTTTGTATGGGGTCAAAATATCATCCTAAAATTTCTAGGAAATACTAAATAAAGATCAATGAAACTTACTCTGCAGTTAATTGTTGTTGTCCTTATTGCTCCAACGAAGTTTCGTGATGATTTGCAGTAATTTGTTCAAATTCACTCTATCTACAATAATAATATACAAGGTAGGAAACACGAGGTGCCATTTTCGACGACATGCTCTCATTCAACACAACTTTTTCCACGAAATTCGAACTCCAACGGAAAATAAACATGCCAGGATCGTAGAAATAGGATAGCAGCACATATAGAAACCAATGAAGCTTTCCCAGATAGAGAAACGAATCCCACAGACTTGGACAAACTCGAAGAATATAATCCAAACACACCGAGAATACGCTCGCCGAAGCAGCCGGGCCAGATCAACGCGCGGCCAAGAAAATGAGGCCTGGGCACTGTACAAAAAAATTCCATCCTGGGAGTCCTGGGGTGACCTTTCTAGGGACCGATACATCATTTGCCCAAAGCCACCCTCCCTGCTGGAAAAATACTTGATAGAAGGCAATTGTTCTTCGTAGCCAATCACCATTTGCCAGAGCAAACCCCGCACACGCGCCTGAATTTAAATGGATAAAAAAAGTAATATAATCAGGAGAGTCTGCGGAGTTACAAGGCGTCCCATTTCTTTTACTAAGGAATGCAAATAACAGTAATGAAACTAATGAAATAACAACGCGAAATGCTTACAAGGCGGGCTAAAAACAAGGTTGAACAAAAGGTAGATGATGACTGAGATACTGTTGCTGTGAACTCTCGAGCGAAACTATCGTAAATAAACGGTGAAGCTTACAAACTAATGTCAAAAATTATACAGAAAATTGCGACAGAATATGAATTGCGATAACTGAGACGAATGTGAAAGGCACGTGCACTAGTAAACAAAGAACTAGGGCGATTAACATATTTAGCGATTAATGCAGCAATAACACGCCGACTTCTTGTCAATACAAGTGAACGCTCTATCGGTTAAATATGTGAATCATCGTGATACACCTCTCTTTGAATGTGGTCCTGTTGTACAAATGCCTCGGTAAGAGCCAAAATTCACTTACATCTTTTGCTCGTTTTAAGTTTTGTAAATCGTCCTTCGTTGTTCTTTCCTTTGCCCTTATAACCTTGCCCTATTGATGTTTGATAAACTTTCTGAGGACCAGCGCCAGGAGCTGAATATAGTTCGAGAGGAAAATAATCTCTTTATAAAAGGCCATAGTGATTGGCTAGGAAGAACAATTGCCTTCTATCAAGTATTTTTCCAGCAGGGGAGGGTGGCTTTGGGCAAATGATGTATCGGTCCCTAGAAAGGTCACCCCAGGACCCCAGGATGGAATTTTTTTGTACAGTGCCCAGGCTTCATTTTCTTGGCCGCGCGTTGATCTGGCCCGGCTGCTTCGGCGAGCGTATTCTCGGTGTGTTTGGATTATATTCTTCGAGTTTGTCCAAGTCTGTGGGATTCGTTTCTCTATCTGGGAAAGCTTCATTGGTTTCTATATGTGCTGCTATCCTATTTCTACGATCCTGGCATGTTTATTTTCCGTTGGAGTTCGAATTTCGTGGAAAAGTTGTGTTGAATGAGAGCATGTCGTCGAAAATGGCACCTCGTGTTTCCTACCTTGTATATTATTATTGTAGATAGAGTGAATTTGAACAAATTACTGCAAATCATCACGAAACTTCGTTGGAGCAATAAGGACAACAACAATTAACTGCAGAGTAAGTTTCATTGATCTTTATTTAGTATTTCCTAGAAATTTTAGGATGATATTTTGACCCCATACAAACACTGTAATTTTACTGGAACCGTACTGTGGTACTATCACAGAGCCTGGGCTACCTGTGTTTTGACGAGGCCTCGAGCGGCCGCCATGTTGGTGAACTGAAGGAGATTTACAGTAATTAATTCTAGCCTTATCATTAAAATAACTTAATCGTGACTCATACAGTTGCAAAGAACTATCCTTCCTCCTTTCATTTACCTACTCTTATCTGAAAATGGTTGAGCCTGAGCTACGAACGGCTATAACTTCTCACAGCACTTTTTCGGTACTTAAACGGTACACAAATTTGGTAGAAATTGGAAGGCCAATATCACCCATGCCACATCGATTTAGACTAAGCCATTTTAACTAAACATAGTTTGTTTATAGCTAAGTTAGATTGTTGAATAAAATAATTGGGCAAATGCAACGGAACAGAAATATGATTGCATGAATGCGCAGTGGTTCAGCCACTTCGCCGCTAAAACTTCAAAACAAAATTCGGTGAATATTTGAAAAGAAAATTCTTTAAAAATTGATCGTGCCTCTTAAACCCTATCTATCGCTTAAAAAACCCTCCCTTGTAATGTAAACAGATGATCTTTTGATTCTGATCTTGCGAAGAGCTTGAAATATGCGCTAAAATGAAAATTATATATTTTGTTACACACGGTACTAGCTCAAGTTCGCTCTTCGATTTCCCAGACCAATCGGGAGCCGCTCGTGTACTGCACAGTTACAATTTTCTCTGTAGTATTTCGCTGTATACAGCTACAAATTACTATTTTCTTAGGCAAAGATAACGCAAACGTTGTCAATTTTAATCAAAAGGCTAGAAAAACCAACCGTGCACTGTAGCTTTATGCAAATTGTATGGTATTCGATAATTACACGTGTAAACAGGAACCTACCTTTGCTAATGTACACTGTTTGGCAGATCTTTCCAGCGTAAGATATAAAACTAGTACATGAAATGAAATTAAAGAACTCATCAAGTCAAATTACCTGATCGTACCGTCATTACTGAATAATAAGTCCGCAAAATATGACATGGAATGATCGGTGGGAGACGAAGCTATTCTTAGGAGGACAAGGAACTGCACGCTGGAACGGAACTGAAATGAACAACCTCAATCAAGTTCAGTCTTCTTGACGCTATTAAACGTTTCACCCGAATTTGAACAGGAAGTTGTTTTCTATTTTCTTTCTCATTCTTGCATGTATTCTGCAGTTCGCCCACTATTTTTTCGTAACTTTTAATTTTCTAGCTAACTGGAACTGTTAAGAACTACCAACCCCCCTCCCCCCTCCCCCTCTTTGAGTGAACTTTCATTCGGTCTGATTCACAATAATTTTCGAACGGTGACAAAGTGATATTTGAAATGACATTTTATTTAGTATTTTTAAAAGCTCCTTCTTTTTTTCCC